AGCACTCAAATGGTATACTATGTAGTTGTTAAACAAAATCTAAAAAGGAAATTATTATTATAATTTCCTTTAAGTTTTACTAACAACTACATATTATTATATGACTATATATAAGAGAATCCTGTTTATAGTAAATTAAAGGTATAATATAAAAAAGGCATATGGGGTGGAGTCAATAGAAAAGAGACAAATTTTTTCTAAGTAAAAGTTTTCTTGACTTTAAGCTTAAATATCTCAGCAATTATCTTATCAAATTTAATAATATTTTTTTATTTTAATTCTTTATAATTTCAAAATTAAAATAAAAAAATTTTGAGCAAATTTAATTAATTAGTTGTTGAGATATTTTAATTTAAAAATTAAAAAAATTCACTAAAAATGATTTGTCCCTTTTTTATTGACTTCACCACATATAGTGCTTTTGTTTCATTAATCTTATCATCAGAAAATTCTTTTTTTAAAAAATAATGAAACTTTTTTTTCAGATCTAAAGCTACACAGAGTATTACTATTGCATTTGTTTTAAAATAATATTGTACTAGTTTTTCTCTTGCTGTACTAGCTGCAGCAAAGAGTGAAGCTAACAATTTGATGTTAATATCAAAGCTGAAACTAAATGTAATAACAACTTACCTTTTTTTTCTGAATTCAATTATATATCTTCAACATAATTAAGAATAATATTAAAAAAAGTAATAATCCAGAAAGCTATACAATGTGAATTTGATGAAATTTTTGTTGTGAGATCTTTAAATGGTTCAAGGAATTTAGCAATTTTCTCTAGTGTGACCCATTGATCATGTAAAATAGCATTCTGGTAAAGATTACTATAGATGCTGGTAAAACTATTAAGCACCTACAAATTTATCAGAGTTATATTTTTTAAATACCCTAATAAAACTAGAGATTGTAATCGATAAGTTTTTGAGCATCGGTTGATTAAAAATTCAATTTTCATTTTTTTAAAATATCAAAAACACTATACAGAAACTTTGAATCTCTTAATGCATAGTAACTGTATATAATTACTATATCATTACTGCATATTAAGATAATTTAGGTTTCTGTAAAGTATATACTGAACCTCTCAGAATCGATTCTCTTAAAATCGATAACCTATCAAATTTGATAAAAAAATTAGTCTATCAAGTCTATTTCTATTATAAAAATCTACTAGTTTATAATGTTTTCAAATCTGATAACCTCCCATACTGATAAAAAATCTGTTTACCATATATATTGACTTTGGGTATAAAAAATTTAGTGTAATACTAAATTTATCAATTACTTTTTTTAAATTGTTAATTTTAAAATTAATTATCAAACAGTTAAATTTTAACTTTGACTGATGCTCAATAATAACTGAATTAAAAACTCAATACTGTTGAATTTTCCAAAGCCTTATACATAGTGAACAGATTTTGTATTAGTATTAGGAGGCTATTAGATTTGAAAACATTATAAATTATTGATTTATATAGCAAAAATGAACTTGGTAGACTAATTTTTTATCAGATTTAACAGGTTATCAATTTTGGGAGGTTTAATAGTTTCATTTTGCAAAATAGAAATCTATAGGTTTGAAAGATAGCTCATTTTTGATCATGTCATAGGTGAAATTTCACCTAGTGGGGCAGTCTAGTATAAGTTTAAAATATTTAATATAGCATGCTTTACAAGCACTTTCAAGGAGCACAAAACATTGAGGTGATGTACAGATAGCCGAATTAAGTTCTCAAATCTTTAATTATTCTTTTATTAGTATAAAATAATAAAATAAGTAAAAAAAATTTAATGCTAATAAGATTTATATTAACCTTTGCAAATATCTGTTTTTATTTGATCTAAAGCAGCCTGTGCTGCTAAATTAAGAACATGGTTGAAACAACAGAATCAAAGATGTTCTGGGCTTCATTTAAGGTATTCTTCTTCTCACAATTTATTTGCTAATTTATGCACAAAAGTATTGTTATTTGTAGCATTGTCCAGAGTGACTGCAAGTAACTATTCAAGAAAAAAAAATACATATTATTTTATGCTAAAGATAATTACTACTATACATTCTCAAAATAGCATAGGCATTATTTCGAATTTTGGCTAAATTAAGCTTAATTAGGATAAAAATTTGAAATAACACCAATGCTCACTATTTTGGTACTATACTGTTGAACCTTTCAGAATCGATCCTCTTAAAATTAATAACTTGTCAAATTTAATAAAAAAATTAGTCTACCAAATTCATTTCTGTTATATAAATCTTTTTTTTTTATTATTATTTTGTCAAATGCTGTTACGGCCAACTTTATTCGGTGTAAATTTTGTTACCAAAGTAACTGTTACATATACTATGTATAGTAGTACATTTTTAGCATGTGAGAGTACAACTAGCTACACATGCACCTTTTGAGTACCTATTTAAGTAGTCCACCCAAGGTTCTATACTAGCTGCCGTACCTATAACCCAACTAGGGAGTTATTTATTTAAACTCTTTAGCACCCCAATTCTGCACTACTCTATTAAGTTTCAAGACCATACCCTCGTGCTGCAACCTACCTAGTTAATATCCAAATAGAGACCACCTAGGTTAATATTCCCCTACTGGTTTTACCTTTAACTGGATTACCCCGCTGAAATTAATCATTGGTATTACCCAAAGAGAGGCACAGTAGATGCCTCCCTAATTTCTTCCATGTCCTACACATTTTCAGATTAGGATTCAGAGATATTACGCCTTTAAACCTAAGTTAGTACTAGGGTGTTATCCACGTATTCCCTGCCCTAATTGGTTCACAACAACCCCGGTACCCACATTCGAAACTGTTTCCTTACCCGGATTCTCTATCAGTTCATCCCTTATTTCCAGCCGGCAACTTGGAAGGGTTGGTCTTGTCCAGGCTTTAGGTGTCTAAGAACACCCTCCTCTTGGTTCATACTTTCGAAGTGTATGCCCTTTTTCTCTGGTGTGACAACCCGGCAGTTCGGCTGGTATGTTCTCTGCCAGTGGACCTGGTCGTTCGGTTCTCTGATTTCGGGCCCCAGTTCGAATTCAGCCTTCATATAGTACTGTCAAAGATCATTGTTACCTCTAACTCAGGACTTCCCAAATGGGTTTTCGGTTATGCCGGTTCCTCGGATTTATTGCACCAAAGCTCCTATTACTAGATGGTGTGACCGAAGTTACAGATTAAATCCAACCGATAAGCATAGCTGTTAACCATAACGCAAGCCTATTTTTCAAAATCGTCATCTGTGGGATTTGAACTCTAGACCTGCCACTTGGAGAAAGTGACAACTAGACCACTACACTAAGTCACCATACCTCGTTATATAAATCTAATAGTTTATAATAGTTTCAAATCTAATAATCTCCTAATACTAATAAAATCTGTTAACCATGCATATTGGTTTTGGAAGGTTTAATAATATATATAGTTGAATCTCCCAAAACTGATATACATTATGGACAGATTTTGTATTAGTATTAGAAGATTATCAGATTTGAAACTATTATAAACTATTAGATTTATATAATGGAAATGGATTTGGTAGATTAATTTTTTTATCAAATTTGACAAATTACCAATTTTGAAAGAATCGATTCTGAAAGGTTTAACAGTATTATAGAACTAATAAAATTTGTTCAATTTTAATTATAAGCCTCTATGATAGCAAGATAAAAAAATAAATAAATATCTTTGACATAATTTCAAAATCTTTTAACACTTTAAAGAATCCACTTGCGATATTAAGTTTATCATGTCTTCCGCTTATTAAGCCAAAGTCAATTATAGTTTCTTTAAGAATCCAATTTTTATCTATGTAATATACCATGACGGAAATAAAGGCCTTATTATTAGGTAATATCCCAAGGTCTGACATAAAGGAGATTTTAGAGTTGAGAGTAGCGAAGTAGGTCTAGAGTGTTATAAATACTTAGTAAAGTAAGTAAATAAATAAATTATAAATAATTTAGAATTTATGTATTTAAAATTTATTTAAATTTATTTACTACACTTTTCAAATTACTGTGTTTTAATTACCCATCATGCGGAAATCAATAAAATTCTTTTAAATTATTTTTTTTACTAATTATTAATGAAAATAATAATATTTTTAAAGATTCCCTGTTAAATGCTAATTGTCTAATATAATATCCATTATGCTCTTGTAAATTTTGAATAAAGGAATCTTATTAATAATTTGTCTATTTTTAATTTTCATATTATACAGATTATTAGGATTCAAAAATAAATTTTACAGGATAAAAATTAATTTTTATGTAGTATATGCACATGAAATTCACAAATCATAGTAATTTGAAAAGTGCAATAAATGAATTTTGAATCTAAAGTTGAATTTAATCTTAAGATTTAGTGTATTTAATTAACAAAACTCTAATATGACATATAATTATAAAACTTGCTTTCAATTTCCTTTTTCCAAAACTGTAAAGCAACATAATTGCATTTTTTATTGCATCTCTTTTAATTAATTTTGCTGTGGGATTTAAATACAAAGAACTCTTCCTAAGTACACCCTCTCTAAGTGCACACTCTCTCTAAATATATACTTAAATTTGGGCCCAAATATATAGATAACCTTTCTAAATGCACTTTTTCTTATTGTTCTCTAAGTGCACATCATTAAAGTTCAGTTCCAAGAGTGTGCATTTAGAGAGGGTTCTCTGTATTCTATTATTTTGATCAATTCTGGGTCTTCAATTATAGTAAATAGGCATTGGTGTTTTATTATCTAAGCAGCAAATATATCAACATATCATGAAGTTTTGTATTATCAATAATAGTTAACATTGTAATGGAAAAGTTTTTAGAATCCTAAGGTAGAATTTTAATTAGTTTAGCTTAAAAATTGTAGAAAAAAAAATAAAATAAAAAAATAAAAAAAAAGATACCATTTTAAATGCATTTATAATATTACCACCTTCATTTCGTATTTCTTTTTTTTTCTTACTATATTCATCTGTCATGACATATTGCGCTTAATGAGAAACTTCCAAATGACACCAGAGGGGGCTAGTTAAGCCTTCTTTTCTACAAGAAAATTCATCATACATACACTTCGAAACCTTATATTTAGCAGTTTTTTGGTCCTTTTCCTATACAACTCTGTTAAAAAATAGCCACACCTCACTATAATCTCACTTACTACTAGTTGTGACACTAACTTTATTATTAACATATTCACTATTGTAATTACTATCATGATTGTAGTCATTATCATAGTTGTAGTCATTGCTATGGTCACTATCATAACTATTATTACGATCTGGTGAAAGTTCTTTAGAACATAAACTCATTATTATGTAAAAATGATAATCATATGCTATTACATGTATTAATTATAGGTGAATAGACAAATAACTAATATTACCCTAAAAACTTTTGCCTTATATACTACAAATATTTAGACTTATGTTTTTCTATATTCATATACTAACAAGATATTTTATAAAGATTGTATAGAAGTAATCAAAGAGTGCATATATTTGTATAAGTTTTTTTCAATGTTTAATTAAAAAAAAAAAAATTTTTAAACATTCAACTAAAAAAAAATTTTTTACAACTTGTTCATATAAAGTTTTAGATAATTTATGTTCAAAGTTAGTAGTTTATTATAAAATTACAGGTTAGACAGCATATAACTCCTACATACAAATATTTTTGGCAATAAGTTCATCTAATTCTTTCTGGCTTTTTTATAACAAGCTCTTTTGTATAAAGTAATGCTTTATTAATTACGTTATTTAATTATTGCATATTATTCTTCTTATTTGGTTATTAATTAATAATTATACTGGTAAGTATGGTCCACACAGGACTTTAAAGTATATTTCTATATAATGATAATGCCAAAAGACCATATATGTATGCACTAAACTAGTGTTGTGGGCGAAATTATATATTTCGCCCAGGCAAAATTTCCAAAATAGGGCAAAATATATTTCGCCCAAAAGCCTGAAATCTGATAATTCCGAAACTTTCGAAATTGGCGAAATGTCCGAAACCTGGCGAAATGTCCGAAAATTGGCGAAACCGAAACCTGGCGAAAGTTCCAAAATCTAATTTTGAATTTTTATTAGAAAAAATACCTAGAGTGTAGTGAAACAGAGTGTGAGATATCTTCACTCAAAG